AACCGATTCCATTTAATTTTATCATAAGTGTACCAGCCGAAATTATCATAAAATTACAAAATTACAATTTCAAATATATATTATTCGTAAAATTTAACGTTTTCTTCTGATATCTCTAATACTCTTAGTTCTGATTCGTTTCCATATATAAAAATATTCGCATGATAGTATTAGATAAAGGAATCGCATGCGAAATGTAACGGAAGCCTTAGATCAGTGGTGAAGCTCGGATACAACACGAGCGAGGGTTGCGTTGGCCGATCAAAGGCAAGACAAGACGGAGTTGCTTCATGGATTTGCGTGAAATGATTTACCGAGTTTCAAAGAAAATATATAACTGCCATCGTTTGAATGGCCTTCGCGAAATTGGAGCACCATCGATCAAAATGCGAATTGCGACAAAAGCGTGCGCTGTACAATAAGGTACTCGATTTTTTTTTTACGAAGAAAGTATATTTCATAAATATGAAAAAATACACACAATTCATTTATAAATATTGCAATTAATATTTGTAAATAAAAAATAGTGTAATTAATATATAAACAATATATATATATATATATATTTTCGAAATAAGAATTTATATTTATCAAGAAATATTCAAGAGTTCTAATCTAAGAAAATTTTTTTACTTTTCACGTATAAATAATTTCTTTTCGTTTACGTATTTATCTTATTTTTAATTCTTCATGCGTCATTGTAATCTTGTGTTTTTGAAATATATATTAGCTGTAGCATATTAATTCGTGGCTGAAGGCGCGATAGTGAACACTATAGCTAGCTTGCATTACGAGTTACATAATTGTAAGCAAAATACGCCGTAACTTTCTAAGGCACGAACCCACGGATTACTTTTATCTTCTGAACATTTCTTCAATTAAAGGACTACGTGAGAACCCGGTAGACAGTTCAAGTTTTTCATTCCTCTTCCCGTAAATCCGCGAAGATAATTGCCGTTGTTGCGCTACAGATATACTATAGAGAGTATGGGAATAATTTCTTTAGCATGTCGTAACCAAGTGAAAGACATCTGGCCAAGACATTATAAAACCTTAAACAATTCAGACTCGCATAATTGGAAAAGATATTTGGAAAGAAAGTAATTATATGAAATTAGAGCAAAATGAAAAGAATAACTAAGAGCACTTTCTGTCTAATTAATCCCATATAACACTATAAAGTTTGTATTAATGTACATATATGTTACATTCGATCTATGTGTGACGCCCTGTCCAGAATATTTCGATTATTAATTCTCTATTTGTCTCTCTATTGCTTTTTCTCTTGGTGAACTCTACTTGGAATGTTTCAGCCAAAGTCTCTTATGTAATCAACTAATATATTATAATGATGATTCTTGTAGAGGGGCAAGAATTTTTGCATTTTCACAAGCACAAAAAAAATATACAAAATTTTATTTTATAAAGTTTATATTGGTTCTCTCTAAAAACTGAAATATTATACTACATATATAGTTCTATAAATGATATTAACTAAAGAAGTATAAATTGTGTGTATAAACTTTTGTATAAATATTCTTTCCTATATATGGCTTCTATGAATAAATTTTGGAGAATTATGGCAATTTGTGCTCTTCTTTAATACTTGAAATTTTTTTGAAAACCTATAATAAAATACATTAATATTCAATATTATACTGAATATATTATAATTATATTATATTGAATATATTATAATTATACTGAATATTACTAATATACTGTATATATTGTATAAAATACATTGAACTAAAATACTAAAATTATATTTAAATAGAAGAGACTAAATAAATGTTTAGATCCAACGAATTCATCTTTATTTTAAATTAAACAATTGTATCAATTTAAAAGATAAAATATCAAATTCCGAATATTTAAAATCACTTATTAAGTATGACATGTGAATGTCATTGATTCCAATTCTGGTAGAATAAGCTTTTCGGTTCGTAAATACATGCTATAATATTTGTCAACGTGGTGTCGTGTCGCACAACGTAATATCGCACGCAAGGATAATTCGCGTAAATATGCAGCATGTATGAATATCGTACGTCTTATGAGTCACAGACAGTAAAAACGTGCGTCGATAGAGACAAACCAAGAGATAAGAGGTTCAATTATACCGCTAGTAACTTCGCGACACTTACACCTTACCTGCGTCTTACATTTACACCTCTCTTCTCCATCCGATAAAACGGTATCTTGCGTAATGACATACACGTGCACTGTGGGAACGAAGTTCAGGGTCACGCATTTCGCCGCCTTTCTAAATGCGATTAATTCGCTCGCAAAAACTGTTAATAATATTATAAACGAGCCGCGTTTTAATGACAGAGTGAAAACTGGCAATTCCTCTATCACTTTTGAAAGATTTTCGCACGCCAAAGATACGATCGATTAATTAGTACAAGCGATTATCGCCATAGTAATTAATAAGAGAGTAAAGAACCCGTTATCGTTAAGGTAAACACAATGTATTGCAAGTTTACGAATCTCGTCGATCACTTTGTTTCTCATATTATGCAATTATTACCTCAGTGTTAGAATTATATAGACACTCAGTGTCATAATTATACAGCGTAGAATTATATATGTGACTAACTCCTTTTACGCTCATTTAAATTTCGTTAGACTGTCAAATTAAAATCGCAGATTGTCAGTTTTCAATTTTTAATATCATGTTTTTATGATTAAAAATATATCGACAAATTTTAATCATTTAAATATTAATTTTAGTTATTAATTTCTGTTATGACTAAAAATATATCGACAAATTTTAATCATTTAAATATTAATTCTAGTTATTAATTTCTTTTATTTATAGATATGTATATAAAATACTAGACACATCGGTGCAAAATATATAATTAATAAGAGAGTAGTAATTAATAAGAGAGTGAAGAACCTGTTATCGTTAAGGTAAACACAAGATATTGCAAGTTTACGAATCTCGTCGACCACTTTGTTTCTCATATTATGCAATTATTACCTCAATGTTAAAATTATATAGACACTTAGTGTCATAATTATACAGCGTAGAATTATATGTGTGATTAACTCCTTTTACGCTCATTTAAATTTCGTTAGACTGTTAAATTAAAATCGCAGATTGTCAGTTCTCAATTTTTAATATCATGTTTTTATGACTAAAAATATATCGACAAATTTTAATCATTTAAATATTAATTCTAGTTATTAATTTCTTTTATTTATAGATATGTATATAAAATACTAGACACATTGGTGCAAAATATGTAATTAATAAGAGAGTAGAAATTAATAAGAGAGTGAAGAACCCGTTATCGTTAAGGTAAAGACAAGATATTGCAAGTTTACGAATCTCGTCGATCACTTTGTTTCTCATATTATGCAATTATTACCTCAATGTTAGAATTATATAGACACTCAGTGTCATAATTATACAGCGTAGAATTATATATGTGATTAACTCCTTTTACGCTCATTTAAATTTCGTTAGACTATTAAATTAAAATCGCAGATTGTCAGTTTTCAATTTTTAATATCATGTTTTTATGACTAAAAATATATCGACAAATTTTAATCATTTAAATATTAATTCTAGTTATTAATTTCTTTTATTTATACGTACGTATATAAAATACTAGACACATCGGTGCAAAATATGTAATTATATTACACATCGGTGCAAAATATGTAATTATATTACACAACAGTGACATATTTTTTTCTGCATAAAAAAATTTGTACGCAGATATGATTTTATCTCGGCTGTACGGGAAAAAGAGAATACAGTCGGTGTATCCGTTGAATTATTTCGACCACGAAGTACCGATTATGGTTACGGATCGCCGACGTTACTTGTGGGATGATCTGAAATGTAGGGCGGCAAAGGCGAAGTCGCGACCTCGGCGAGGTAAAACCATTTTACCGTTGCTTGACATTCTTCAAGATAGTACATTGTAATATGATTGGGTGGTCCGGGAAAGAGACGATAATCTATCTGCTTCGACATACTTTTTTTTTTACAAAGATCTTTGTAAAGACTATCAAGTGTATTAAATTTGACGGAGACACACCGTTACAATTGTTTCAATTGTGAAAATTATTCTTGCACGTTTATAAAAAATATCAAGTATGTATAAAACAATCAGTTATTCAAACAATCAGAGGAATTTAATGATGTTATTAAATCTACATGATAGCTTAATTTTTTGGACATTTATATATTTTTTAAACATGATATTTTACAATATTATTTAAGTGTTTAAATTTTAATTAACACACGTATAATATTATTATGCGATTTTTTACAAATTATATTTTCGTTAGACAATGATTAAAAGTAGGTCGAAATTTTGCTAGAATTTTTTTTATAAGAGAAATATAATTTCCTCTTATAATTTATTATGTGGATCAATTTTGTATTTGCAAGAAACAAAAGGAATCAATATCTTGTTAGTCACATGCTCGATTAATGAACATTATTTTAAATAGTATTATTAGAAATAGAATGGTAGTTTTTATGATGAAACGGTAAATCTTCTAAATGATATATCATAACATTGAAAGCATGAAATGACAGAAAATTGGAGCATTCATCAACCGAATAGATATATTTTTATTGATGACCTCGTGCTGTTTATGCATCACTCCAAAAGGGAAAAAGCGGGTCATCTTTGCAATGCTTGAAAAGTCGCTCGATGATCAATTAAGTGACGATTATACAGCACGATATAAATAAACGCAGTCGATATGGATAAGATTATCTACGATCTCATTTGAAATAAATATATATAATGCAAATTCGATATTTTCAACTTAAAGTAAAACTAACACACGTGTCTTTTCGTGTACGTTTTCAAGAAAAATATAGTTTCAACTTTCTGATATCTGTGCGTCTCGATATTTTAATAATTTTCTAAATTTGTGTGCGTGTCAGGGATGCGTCATATTTTTATACCAAACTATAATAAAACCTGCAAAACTTTGTTGACGTAAAAAGACCTAATCGATTGTAGGGTGGCCGAGTATGGGTGCCGCATCCGGAGAAAGTGTGGGAGGGCGCGGTGCTTCTGGAGAACTACAACAAACGGAATCAGTCGACGTTGAAAGTACAAACGGAAGAGTCAAATCAGACGAAGACGTTGGAGATCAAATCGGACGTGGATCTTCCTCCGCTCCGCAATCCGGATATTCTTATAGGAATAAATAATCTCACATCATTGTCCTTCCTTCACGAGCCCGCTGTCCTCTACAATCTTCAGATCCGCTTTCAACGGCATTGCATCTACACTTATTGCGGCATCGTCCTGGTCGCCTTCAACCCGTACAACGAATTACACATCTACGGCAATGACACGATATGGGCCTACAGGGGCCAGGCGATGGGCGACCTGGAACCTCATATATTCGCCGTGGCCGAGGAAGCCTACACGAAATTGGAGAGGTGATCGTCCGTATTTATCTATCGATTACGTCACCGATACGTATCTATATGTTGCTGTTAACCAAGAAATAGATTAGACGATTCTCTTGTTGAATAAAAAAATAATGAACAAATAAATAGATAAGGAATTAAAGTAAAAAATGAAAAAGATACAGATTAATCTTTTGAATAATAAATTAATTTGTTATAAAATATTATAGAAATTAAATTCTGATAAATTGAGTATATGAATTAGGCAGAAAAAAACCACACAGTATAAATGTCAAAAATTATAAAAATGTTAAAATGATACAATGGTAACAAAAAAGAAGAAATTAAATTGCATTTTTTATATAAAAATTTATTATATATATTAATTAATAGAAATTAGAGAAAAATTGAATACAGATAGATTAGACGATTCTCTCGTTGAATAAAAAAATAATGAACAAATAAATAGATAAGGAATTAAAGTAAAAAAAGAAAAAGATACAGATTAATCTTTTGAATAATAAATTAATTTGTTATAAAATATTATAGAAATTAAATTGCATTTTTTATACAAAAATTTATTATATATATATTAATTAATAGAAATTAGAGAAAAATTGAATACAGATAGATTAGACGATTCTCTCGTTGAATAAAAAAATAATGAACAAATAAATAGATAAAGAATTAAAGTAAAAAAAGAAAAAGATATAGATTAATCTTTTGAATAATAAATTAATTTGTTATAAAATATTATAGAAATTAAATTGCACTTTTTATATAAAAATTTATTATATATATATTAATTAATAGAAATTAGAGAAAAATTGAATAGAAATAGATTAGACGATTCTTTTGTTGAATAAAAAAATAATGAACAAATAAATAGATAAGGAATTAAAGTAAAAGAAGAAAAAGATATAGATTAATCTTTTGAATAATAAATTAATTTGTTATAAAATATTATAGAAATTAAATTGCATTTTTTATATAAAAATTTATTATATATATATTAATTAATAGAAATTAGAGAAAAATTGAATACAAATAGATTAGACGATTCTCTCGTTGAATAAAAAAATAATGAACAAATAAATAGATAAGGAATTAAAGTAAAAAAAGAAAAAGATATGGATTAATCTTTTGAATAATAAATTAATTTGTTATAAAATATTATTATAAAATATTATAGAAATTAAATTGCATTCTTTATATAAAAAACAAAATTTATTATATATATATATTAATTAATAGAAATTAGAGAAAAATTGAATTAAATGCTACCGAGTAATATATATTATATTTATTTACCAAGAACAAATATTAATTTTATTTAATTCCATTTAGGGAGAACCATGACCAGTCGATTATCGTTTCCGGCGAGTCGGGCGCCGGCAAAACGGTCTCCGCAAAGTACACCATGCGATACTTTGCGACTGTCGGCGGATCGGCGACGGAGACGCAGGTTGAGAAGAAGGTTCTGGCCTCTTCTCCCATCATGGAGGCGATAGGTAACGCGAAAACCACCAGGAACGACAATTCCTCGAGATTCGGCAAGTTTATCCAAATCCATTTCAACAAAAACTACCATATCACTGGCGCCAGTATGAGGACCTATTTGTTGGAAAAGTCGCGGGTCGTATTCCAGGCGAACGAGGAACGGAATTATCACATATTTTATCAGATGTGCGCGGCAGCGAAACGTCTTCCCCAATTGTACTTATCCGATCAGGATCAATTCCACTATCTTAATCAGGGCGACAATCCCACGATCGACGGCGTGGATGATCTCGAGTGCTTTGACGAAACGATCAGTGCATTGACGATGCTCGGTTTCACGTCGAAGCAGCAGGAAGATATGCTGCGCATTCTAGCCGCCATATTGCATTTAGGTAACGTAGAGATAAGTAATTGTAAAGTCGAGAACGCGAAGGATGGCGAGGTGGATACCGAATCCAGCTACATCTCTCCGTCAGACCGACATTTGCTGATTATTTCCGAACTGCTCGGTATCAATGTAAAGGCAATGCGCAAATGGTTGTGCCATCGGAAGATCGTGTCGATGCGAGAAGTCTTCCAAAAGCCGATGAACGTGGACCAGGCAATCGGCGCGCGAGACGCTTTAGCTAAGCACATATACGCTGAGCTCTTCAATTGGATCGTGGTCGGCATCAACAATTCGTTGCAGTCTCTTAGCAAAGCACAGTATTTCATCGGTGTGCTGGATATCTACGGTTTCGAGACATTCGAAGTGAATTCGTTCGAACAGTTCTGCATTAATTATGCAAACGAAAAGCTCCAGCAGCAATTCAATCAACATGTGTTCAAACTGGAGCAGGAGGAATATTTGAAGGAAGATATCGAGTGGACCTTCATCGACTTCTACGACAACCAGCCATGCATCGATTTGATCGAAACCAAACTGGGTATCCTAGACTTGCTGGATGAGGAGTGTCGCATGCCGAAGGGTTCGGATGCCTCGTGGGCGGAGAAATTGTACACCAAATGCAGCAAGTCGAAGCATTTCGAGAAGCCGAGATTTGGCACTTCGGCTTTCCTGATTCACCATTTTGCCGATCTCGTGCAATATGAGACAGTGGGCTTCCTGGAGAAGAACCGTGACACCGTGATCGAGGAACAGGTAGATGTGCTGAGAGGCAGCGAGAACAAGCTACTGAAGAAACTGTTTAGCGACGAGGACCCAAAACTGGCGGTGCCACATACCAGAGTGAAGGTGTCCACGCAGAAGAGCACGCCAACGAATGTGTCCAACAAGCAAAACAAAAAAACTGTCGGTTCGCAGTTCCGCGATTCCCTCAATATGCTGATGGCCACGTTGAACGCTACAACGCCGCATTACGTCCGCTGCATCAAGCCGAATGACTCGAAAGAAGCCTTCGAATACAATCCGGTGCGAGCGGTGCAGCAGCTGCGTGCTTGTGGAGTTTTGGAGACTATCAGAATCTCGGCCGCGGGTTTCCCGAGCCAACGTACGTACGGTGACTTCTTTCAGAGATATCGCTGTCTCTGTCAATTTAACGAGATACGACGGGATGATCTGAAGGAAACTTGCCGACGAATACTGGCCAGATACATCAACGATGAAGACAAGTTCAAGTTCGGTAAGACCAAGGTGCTCTTCAGAGCTGGTCAAGTAGCGTATTTGGAGAAACTACGAGCGGAGAGACAGCGGGATGCCTGCGTGATGATCCAAAAGACGGTGCGCGGTCTGATCTATCGCAATAGGTACGTCAAGATCCGTCGATCGATCCTCGGTCTTCAGAGATACGGCAGGGGTTGCATTGCGCGTCAGAAGGCGGAGGCGGTGAGGAGGGAAAGAGCCGCGATAAAGATACAGGCGCACGTGAAGGGCTGGCTGCAGAGGCGATGGTATCTGCAGGTGAAACGCACAATCCTCGGCCTGCAGACATACGGCAGAGGCAACATGGCTCGCGTTAGATACTGGATAATGAAGGACAATGCTGCGGCGACAGTGATCCAAAGATTCGCGCGGGGATATCTCGTAAGAATGGCGTGTAGGAAGAAACTTAGAGATATAATTACCGTGCAGTCGTGCGTTAGAAGACGGCAGGCAAAGAAGATCTTCAGGCGACTGAAAGCCGAGGCCAGAAGCGTAGAGCACGTCAAGTCCCTCAACAAGGGACTGGAAATGAAGATCATCACGTTGCAACAAAGGATAGACGAATTTGTAAGCGGTGTCTTATCTTATATAAGCTGTATAAATTACTTATTATTTTGTTATCACTTTTATATATTTTAGCAGTTCGAATAAGATAAAAAAAGATCGTGCTTTTGAAATGAATCTTTTGTTTCAGGCAAAGGAAAATCAGTTCTTGAAGAATATGCAAAACGAAATGTTAGATTTGAAGCTCAAACTGGATAACTTGAAATCCGTCGATATTGACAATAAAAAGTTGAAGAAGGTAGTGCAGGAAAAAGAGAAGGAGCTGAAAAATATACAGGAAATTCTGAAACAGGAGAGAGACGAAAAGATGGATATATTGCACGATAAAGAGAGGATTTCTCTGCAAAAGAACGAGGAAAATAAGAAACTTCAGCAAGAGAATGAGAGATTAAGGAAGGAGCTTTCGATAGCGACTGAGAAATTGAATAGCAACCAACGCGGTGCCGAGGAAAATCTAAAGTATCGTCTCGAGCAAGAGAAAGACCTGCTTCGGCTGGAACAGGATCAGGATCGTGGAGCCTACCAGAGGCTGCTCAAGGAATACCACGAGCTAGAACAACATGCGGAGATGTTGGAGCAAAAGCTAGCGTTACCTGGACATTCGCGTTCTTTGAGCAACGCTTCCAGTGGTAGTGGCCAAATCGCGTCCACGGAAATTCCACAAGATGATCAAAACATCGTAAGTCGACATATAATTTAATTAAGTACACATTTTTACGTAAGCACGCAATTTTAATTAAGCGCAAATATTATTGAATAAATCGGGGAAATATTTATATGAAAGAAATTTGAATTTTAATACGATTAAATGTACAAAATCAATAGTAATTATAATTTATTATTACATTGATCGCTATTATACACTATTGTGATTAGAGTTATATACTGCTATGATTCTGCTGCAGGATTTTGGTTACGGTTCCGTGAGATCCACGGCTTCCTCGTCAACGCCTTATTCGCGAGTAGAGACGATTGACTGGAATCAGCAGCGATCAGATAGCCCACCGGATGGAGAAGTTCAGTCAAATAAATCGCCCTCAGAAAAATACGCATCTGCTCACGCACCTGTGGACATCGGTCTCGTTTTGAAGCTGCAACAGAAATTAAAGGATGTCGAGAAGGAGAAGGGCAGATTGATCAGAATGGTCGAGGATCTGGAACGCGATAGTAACGAGGAGTCCTCCAGAACACAGGATTCGTTCAGAGTAAGTGGAGGAAATTTCATTTAGAAAAATAGCTCTCTTCTTCAAATTTTTTTTACCTTTTCGAAATAGTCTGCTTGTGTCTTGTCTAAGTTTTAGATTAAAAATATATTCCATTACTTGTCAATTTCTTTTTTCTAACAAATAAGTTTGCGATAGTATATTTAAACATTTTTTATTAAGATATCAATATAAACCCATCAATAAAATTGCTCTGTTGTCTTATCTCTATTATCAGTGGATTAATGACGAATCGAGACAATATGGTTTATTTGCAGCTCCAAGAACTGGAAATGGAAAATTCGCAACTTAAGAAAGACTTGAACTCATTGAGGAAAACCGTGTCGTTGGGCAGCCCATCATCAGCGCAACAAAATCTCATGAGTAATTTACTATTGCAATTTATTAATTATATTCTGCATTACATTTGTTAAACACCTTTTATATATATATATATATATATATATATATATATATATATATTGATTTTTACATATGAGTTAATTAACTTTGTATTTTTCAATTTCTAAGATTGAAGTAAAAGAAACATAGATAAACACATTATATATCTTCTATAATTTTTATTTTCTGCTTTCTGCTCTTTCTATCCTTTCTAATACTATCTTTATATTGGTTGTGTTTTGCGCTAAATAACTTGACAAAATGTATTAATAATTACAACTAAGAGAAATATTTCTTTCATATTATATATGTATATATATCATGCACCGTATTGCTTGCGAAATTATCGATTATCATATCAGTATTACCGATAATTTCAATTCTTGCTATCTTTGAAAGCTAAAAATACTCGAAGCAGTTTCAACGATTTTATAAAGGTTCATAAACACTATAAAAATCTATATTTTTCGGAAAGTTATAATTCTTCAAAATACCTTACGTATATATTTATTATACCTTTGCTTTGTGTGTGGTAATTAAATGTTCCCCTGCTATATTCCCAAGGTTAAATAACTGTGTAAGAGACAATAACAATAATACGACGAAGAAATACAAGATAATACTGACATAATGACTTTCTAGTACAATTCGAGGCGCTGCAGGAAGAACTGGAAAGAAGAAGAGAAGAGTGTATCCAACTGCATAGTGTGCTGGCTGATCACACGCGCAGGATGAAGAGTTTAGGTGCCAATTATGGTCGCGACGTAGACATCATAAACGAGGACGGCGAGCTGGTACTTGCCTTCGAAGCGCAGAAAAAGATTAACAGGTAATGCGAAACAGGACGCGCGTTTAACGAGAGTTGACTAATAACAAAGTGCCGTGTCTAATAGTCTTTTATCGTTTGTGCATGCACTTCGATTTTCAGTAAACTTAAGACAAAGGCACCGAGAGGAGAGTGAGTTGAGCAGATTAACGTTGCGATCCGTTTAAGCATCTTGTTCTGAACTGTTCAATCAAAGGAAAGGGACCTTATAATTTCACGATATCATGAACGTCTTGAAGCATCTTAACCCAAGTCATTAATTAGCAAAATTTTGATACTTACATTAGTGTGTTGTGCGAATCATGCTAAGTTTTTCTTAACGATTCATTAGCTCTAGTCATTGTCTCTCTCAAACATTTTCATTATCACTTCATAGTGGCGCTAATAATAAGCACGATTTTATGCTTAACATAATTCAATTCAACAATTTATTTGCGATTGAACAATTCAAGAAATTTAACAGTAATCTTCAAAAAAAGAAAAATCTGTATGTTTTGTTTTGAAGACAATTAGAAGATGAGCTACAAGGGAAGGAAAGGAATTGGCGATCGCAAAGAGATGAATGGCGAAACGAAATAGACAGACTGCAAGAAGAGATCGAGAAACAGCAAAAATTACTTTCCATTAATTTAAGCAAATCGCCGCAGACCCAAGCGGAACTTTATATGCAGCATGAGGTTGCCAGATTAACGTCTGAAAATTTAGTAAGTGAAATAAAATTCTCTATCGCAACGATATAAGTTAATTTCAGTCAATTTTGTTGCATCGTTTTCATTTTTTAATTACAATTTTAACTTTATACACAATGTATTTGATTTAAGTATACATAATCAGTTGTTTTTTTAATTAATAAAAATATAATGTTTTGAATAAAAGCTTTTTTGCTTAAGAAAATCTATATAAAAACTTAAACAGAATAACTTTTATTCGAAACGTTTATATATAACATACACATATATATTTTTGACATGTGTATTAAAGGATCTTCAAGAAAAATATGATAAAATGGCGGAAGAATGCAGACGTTATAAGAAACAATGTAGAATCCTGGCGAAGCGGTTGAAGGATGCGGGCTGTAAGTATAATAATATCTATGCTTATCGAAAATAAAAAATATCATTGGGCAGAGAGATATTAAAAAATTTTTTTAATCCTATAAGCACGTATAAACATGTATATATATTTTAAATTACTTGATCTTAATGCTTCCAAAGACGAGGGAGAGGAACGTCCTTATGTGCTAAGAAACGCCGGTGAGTGAGTGTGTGGTCTTGACAGATGTCATGAATCATCATCATATTGAACTATTCGAAGAGTTTGTGGTTTGAGCAAGTACAACCATTTTATCAAATTGAAAAAAGATTCATATAATAGACAGTTACACTAGTTAAAAGATAAAAATTTCGTGTTGAAAAATATTATATTTAGCAAGTAAGAAAAAAATTAAAAAATCTCGAAAGAAAGAGTAGACTTTTCAAATAGTTCGATAATACATCATATAGACCATAACTCACTATCACTTGCATATTGCGTCGAACACGTGACATCGATATAATTTAAAAAAATCGTGAAAAGCCTATAAATCGCATCGAATATATGAAAATTTTAATTTCTTTCAGTACCTAATGCGGTAGAATACGCAAACGGATCCGTCATTGTTTCCAGTACTCAGGATGGAAGTAATATGCCTGTCATTCGTAAGAAAGAAAGAGATTATGAAGGAATGTTTGAATTCAGAAAGGAAGATATCAACGTGATTATACGTCATCTAGTCATTGGTAAATTTCTTTAAAAGCTTTAATAAACTTTCTTTAAATTTTAATAAATATCAAGATGCAGTAAAGCTCTTACGTCATTTTCTTATATAAATAGATGTATATAAAGAAATTCTCTCCATTATATATCTTATATGTATATTATTATAAGATGTTATTATATTTTTATAAATTTATAATATTTTACAAAATATTATAAAATATTATAAAATATTAAAAAATTAAAAAATTATATAATTATAAAATTATAAAAATTATAAAATTATAATATTTTACATTCTGTTCAGAACTGAAACCCCGTATAGCGGTGACTCTGCTACCGGGTTTACCGGCCTACATCCTTTTCATGTGCATCAGACACACCGACTGCATCAACGACGACGACAAAGTACGATCGTTGTTGACCGAATACTTGAACGCTGTTAAACGTGTGCTGAAGAAGCGCGATGATTTCGACTCCAGAGTGCTCTGGCTGAGTAATACCCTGCGACTGTTGCACAACATGAAGCAATATTCTGGCGACAAGCCGTTCCAGATCGAGAATACACCTAGACAGAACGAGCAATGCCTGAGGAACTTCGACCTGAGCGAGTATCGCGTTGTGCTGAGTAACGTGGCTCTCTGGATTTTCAACAATCTCGTCACGAATCTCAAGGAGAGAATCCAGGCGCTGACGGTACCGGCCTTGCTGGAACACGAGGCCATATCCGTGCCCACTGATAAGGCTGGTCGACCCAGATCGTCGTCGATGGGCGGCGAACCGGATTTCACGCAGCAGAAGCTGGATAAGCTTCTCGATGAGCTTACATCGGTGCACAAGACCTTGCAATATCACGGCGTCGATCCCGAGGTTGTGGTGCAGCTGTTCAAGCAACTGTTTTACTTTATGTGCGCCAGCGCTCTGAACAATTTGCTGCTAAGGAACGAACTCTGCCGGTGGACGAAGGGTATGCAAATAAGGTACGAGAGATCTCTCGATCTTCTTTTAAATTGCTGAAATAGAAAATTCGACACAAATATAATTGCATTGCGAAAAATATCGGGATTAAAAAATCGATAAAGAAATTTTCTTTGTAAATTAATAAATTTTTCATCTCTTCGGGAAATTTTAAAAGACTTAACTTTACTTAGTATTAATTCTTAGTTTTGTTATTTCTATTTTGAATATATTGCATATATGTATATATATTTCTTGCAATAATATAATGTGTTTTTTATTAAGGTATAATATGAGCCATTTAGAACAATGGGGTAGAGATCGACGATTAGAAATTGCATCCGAAGCGTTACAACCCATCATACAGGCATCACAGCTTTTGCAGGCGCGTAAAACGGACGAAGATGTTAATTCCGTCTGCGAAATGTGCAACAAGCTGACGGCTAATCAAATAGTAAAAATCCTGAACCTATACACACCAGCCGATGATTATGAAAGTCGAGTTCCTGTTTCGTTTATTAAAAAAGTACAAGATAAACTAAAAGAACGCGGGGAGAACAACGAACAGGTAAGTTTTTTTGTGGCTAAAAAATAATCAATTTTTTTACAATTAGTCAAAAATTTAAAAGAACTAAAGTATGTATTTATCGTTCTCTAAAATATGAAATAAGTTATAAAAGATTAAAATAGCGAAAAAATTTTTCGCAGCGTATAATAATTTCACATTTTCGATTTTCAGCTGTTAATGGATCTAAAGTATTCCTATCCTGTAAGATTTCCGTTTAATCCATCGGACATTCGATTGGAAGACATCGAGGTACCCGAAGTGCTTCATTTGCCCATGCTCAAAAAAGTATAATGCAATAAAGCAAGCATAATCGTGGTAAAGATTCCCCCGTTCTAAATCAGTCTTTAGTTAAAAGTGTTATTCTCGCGGATAATCGAAACTCGCTTAGCCCAATCCTTATTCGTACGAAAGTTAGCGGTACCAAAATCCGACTAAATTAGACGTAGACTCATCGGAAGCGGTTCATCACGATATATATCACATTTTATATGTGTTTCTTTTTTACTCGGGTAATTCATAGATTTTACGATATGTCGTCGTCCCAAATCGCGTTCGCGTTTAAAGTCAATTCCGTTGTGTAGATAAATGTGATCGGGTCTTGGTGAGAAAGATCGATATTTTTTTGTTATTGTTGCTGTACAGCGTTATACATCGAAGTGTAAAAAAGAAAAGTATGAGTATAAAATTCTTATAAGGATTTTGTTACGGATATTTCATCATAAATTTCAGTATTAAGATGAACTTTGGAAAATTTTATCATTTGTATTATATTTACAAATGATGAAAATATATATTTTATATTTATTATTATATCACAATTAATAAATATAATATTATAATAAAGTATAATATATTATGAAATATTATATCGATGTATTATATTTATTATTTTATTTGTTCCATCTCGGAATTTCTAAAATAAATTTTCCAATTTGTTTAAATTTATTGTTGATTACTTTTTTAATTTTAGAGGATAAATATAAATAAATTTACAGAGATGCTACTCTTCTTTCGAACCACTATTTTTTATGATATACAAAAAAATATATTTATCTCAACAAAATATAAAATTATAAAGTTTTTAAAAATATTGCATTTTGTCCGAGTATAGAACAATTTCTATGATTCTAAAAAAATAATCTAACAAATATATGACAACGATAATTACAATTGAATACAAACTTTTAGATTTATATGTACAGGAACTTTATTATATTGCGAATCCTTATATGAATTTTATAGATATCTTAAAGTTGAAAACATGTTGAAGATGTAATTAATGTATAAAAAGGAAATGTATGCGTGCGAGAAATAGAAAAAAGAAAGGAAAGATATAATATTACGTTGGTATAGATTGTATATTTTGATATGAGAGAAAAAGAGAGAAAGAACTATTATAAATAATCGAGTCTGGTGTCGAAAGGACATAAGAATGAGAAAAACAGAAAAACGAAGGCGACCGAAAGAAACCGAAAAGATATATTATTATATTTTAATTTTAAATATCTGTACATGCGATTGTGTATTTTGTGCCATTTTACGAATAGTTCGTAACAATATTTGTTATTTCATCCGGACTGTCATTGGTTTTATGTATTACAAACATATTGATATCTGGAGAAAAAAAAGAAAAACAGGGAGGAAGAATATTTTCTCTCGAAAAATAAGATGGACAGATTATATATTTACACAATTACACACACCTTGACTCGATGTGACATATTTATTTGTTGCTAAAGTGAAAATAAAGCCGTTGATAACAGTTCTTACCCCATTTCTCATGCTTCTTACGTTAACAGTGGTGAAAATGATATTTTATTATGTATAAAAAATCACACATCATTAAAGTTCTCGTAATAATTTGCATATAACATGAAAACATTTTCAAGTTTTTATAAAGGCGAAAATATAAAAAGGATAAAAGTATTTAAATTAGATGATCTTACATATTTATGTCATTGTCCGAAGCAAGGTCACAGCCAGAGGTTCTCGCGAAATAAATCGCGTGACATGAACTTTATATAGCTCGTAGGCATGAAGATCTGAAATTCTCCCGCGGATCTCCAAACAACGAAGCGAGCCGAAAAAGAAGATTCGAGAAAAGGAAAAAAAAGCAAAATAAACATATTGTGACCTCGGTGTGATAATGTGCACCTGATGAAGTCGATACAATATTCATAGCGCTTTTAACTTTCGAACGCATGTAACCACTGTAGACACTTCGTTTTCATTATCGTCACCTTTGCTGCGTCGTCTTGTGCAGAAACTTCTTCTGTCCCAACATTGACAGGTGCTTAGACCGATCGTGATAACTACGAGGAAGCTCTTCGTTAAGGTATTGTTCATAAATAATCGTTGAAGAGGAAATACCAGATATTTGATATGCATCCTCGAAGGAGGCATGTCTTTTCTGACTTAAAATTGCGCGCCAAGGATTTTCTCATCGTTTTAGTTCCCCGAAGGAGATCAAAGAGATGTTTCGGTTCAATATGTCGCATAATGTAACGTGATCATATACTTCTAGTTATTCATTCTCGAGTTGATATTTCGAATTCTTTCATTTGACAAATATTTTTTAACGTAAATTCTGATGATAATTAAGATTGTTAAATTATTTTCGTGATCTTGAAATTTATGAATAATGTTCGCCCGAAAATAAATGTAAAGTATGTATGTAAAATACGTTTCAAGTGCATTCAATAAGCACATTCAATAAGAATAGATTAAAAATCCAATAAGATTTGATATGAAACTCTCTAACAATTTCCATCGCTACTTAAAATTTAATATTAATGATATATGTTGATATACACCGTGGGAATTTATATAAATCCTATTATTATAGATTATATTCTAATAAACAAAATATAATATAAACTTAAAGATTCTCTGGATACATGTGAGATGATATATCAGATTTAATTAATCATTAGGAAATTCATGAAACTGAGAATGTCTCATCTATACAATCAGTAGAAATTACAGGAACGATGTTAAATATTATGATTTTATAATTGTGTACGTGTGCGAAACTGTAATCTAATTTTATTTTTACATTTGTATTTTCCCTTCAGTTATAGAATTTTGCCCTTCTGCAATTTCAAACATTTTGATTAAAGCAAACAAGTTCTTATATCTCTATTATTTGCTTTACATACTATGAGAATCATTCTGTTAATCTGGCATTGCATGATTAATTAAATGCTTTGGCATTAAAATTTAAAAAAAATCAACAAATGGAGTTAATCTTTAGTTTATGGATGACTCATATATATTTTTATAAACTCAATTTGCAGAATCCGTTATTTCAACAATAAGATTTTATATTTTATTTTTTTCTTTTAATTATTAGGAACAACACAAGGATTATATAAAAATGATGTAATTCTTGAGCTTTTGCACGCGTGATTTCTCTTTTCAAAATTAAAATTAATAACTACCAGAACGGGAAAGCAAGTGCCGACCTAAGGTCAAGTGAGACCTAAATTCTGGCTTATACTAGGTGGTACGACCATCCATAGAAACAGTAGTTTATTTGTCATGATAATGTTTCTCGGACGCTGACGATTATGATTCTACAATCCGTTTGTACTTCTTATAAAAAAAGAAATAATTTACAATTGATACAATCGCTAATTTTTAAAATTTATTCTTAAAATTTAAAATTTATTATTAAGATACGTTAAGAAGTTATAATGCAACTTAAATTTAATTTTTTTTATTGTTAATGATTCATATAATTTTTTTAAATTACACGAAAATTTATAAGATTCAAGAAATATCATAAAATATATATACTATTTTTTTACATTATTTTTGTTGTTAAGTATTATTAGAATAAAATTACCATGTGATCGTTATAATTTGTTGTACCGTTCAATTCATTCAAACTATTACAAATTTATTCGAACCATTAAGTAATGTCAATTCAATCAAAATTCTCAAGAGATACAGGCAATACAGACACGTTTTTTAATATATTTTAACACTATTATTACACTCTGATTACAGATATTTTAAACTTATTTATATTTTAAGTCAAAATATTTATGATAGAAATATTACTAAACATATTTTAAGTAAATAAAACCAAATTGCACTTTTTATAACATTTGTAATTACAACTATTTTTTATTATTTTTATATATTAATATAAAAATATATTATATATTAATTTTTATTATTTTTTTTTCATTTTATGATTAAAGTCTCTTTTAATGTGATTTTGGTTAAAAAAATTATTTTTTGTTTTGTTTCAAATCTGTGTATTCCGACAAGCATGGCGAAAAATATATATTAAATAATTTTGTTTTCTAGAATTGATACAGCATCGTAATATTACTAATGGAGTAAAAAAGGTTCGATAAGATTGTAATCACAATTATTATTGAAATTTAGGAAGAAAAGCGCTAAACGAGTATCCGTCATGCCTGTTGCTATAATAAAGAAAATCATAAGGATATTATTCGTCTTAATACAGAAAATCATGAGGATATTATTCGGTTCACTCGACCCCTTCTACATATTTATTATGAACTTTATCTTATCGATGCCATGTAAGATAATTTGTCTAATAATATTTGTATAATATTTGTATAATATGAATTAGATTTATTTAGTTTATACTTATAATCGAAAGCAGTTATTTAAATGATAGAACTTAACGATTGTGTGATTTTTACTTTTCTGTTACTTTCTTTCATTCAATATTTATCTAAAAGTACATATGTATAAAGAATATCCTCAAAACAATTTATCAAAAACAATTTATTAAAAAATAGCTATAGAAAAACATGTATTCTAAATCTATATAGAGAAACAGTAACGTGCACGAGCACGCATAATACAGACTTATTGCACACATGGATACAATTTTACCAATAAAGTATATATGAGTATGCATACGTTAACTGTTAATGAGCTAAATTAATAATGACTATATATAATAAATATATACTATTTTTTGTAAGAAGATTAATGTACCAATTACGAATTTCGTTTTATTAACAATATTATTAAATTTGTATTCTTTTTTGAGATGAAAAAAACAATGTTGATAAATTAATAACAAGAGTCACCTCAATTTATAAATTAAATTAATAATATGATTTATTTTTTAGTCCTAATACGTGACTTAAACGAATGGATACATAATGAGGATGACGTGGAAAAAAAAGTACCAACTAATTTACCGTATGGTAGTTTCAACAATTTCATACATCGTGTCAATTATGTTATTATATGCTGCATAATTTTATACTATTTGGGGAGGTAAATTTTATTTTTATACTTGATTAAATTAATAGAATTATAATAAATGTGTTATTATGTGTACGCATCTCTGTGTATACACATGTATGGATGATTGTTTAATATATGTGTGTGTGTGGGAAGGGAGAAGGACGTGGGTGGGTGTGTTACATACATATGTATATATTAATGCAGTATAAGAAAAGAAAATTTTGATTTAAATCATAATATTAATACGAATTTAAGATACAACTGCCATAATTATATAGATATTAAAATCAATATAAGTATGATATTATCAATATAAGTATAATATTAAAATCAATATTTTAATTTTTCGAAAACTGCTATGCTATTTTATTATAAAAGTTATGAATAAGATTCAGATAAGTATAATATCACTAAATTTATAATTATTTTATTGCAGTCACTATATGATTGCAACAATTTTAATTCAATAATTACTATTTATTGCAAGTATTGATTAACTTATTATAAGTATTCTTATTATTAAGTATTATTAAGTATTCTTATTATTAAAAACATTTCTTATAATTGTTACGAATTTTGATTACAGTTTTTGTTGCATACTTATAGTACTACTACTACATTACTTAAATAATTTGTACAACCGGTTCTTTTGCCGTAATCAAGATAATGAGCAAGCTGTCCATTTTCAAGACGATAGAATTCATTGGAATGGACAAGCGATTGTCTATCCACAAAACGTAAGTAAAATATACTAACAATAACTAAATTAATTAGAAAAGTGATCTTAAATTGATACACCGTTTTTTAAGACATAAAAATAAGAATAATGTAACCAAACAAATATGAATATCATTTAAAACACATAATGTTTTAGAAATAAATGATTGAAATATAAAAGTATATTCTAACATGGCGTAAAAAGATTTTAAAAAATTTATATAATTATGAAACGTAAATCTAGAAACAATTTCTTTCTTAACATGTTTTGCGATAGAATTTGGCGTTAATAACATTAATAAATATTTCGTTAAATATGATGCTGGAAATTTTCTTTGGCAAACATTCGTTTATATACTGTCAACATTTCACAATTCCATCGAAGATATTTAAAATTTCTTAGAGTATTTATTTCGAATTTTGTGACACAAAGTAATAATACCAAAGTTATCCGAATAGTAATAAGAACATTAGCAAAAACTTTGAGAATGAGTCTTACAAATAAAAATTTAAAGTCGATAGATGTAAATGGATAAACGGAAAAATATATATTATTTCTAGTAATTTATTTTATATACAAATTGTTATAGTTTGGAAAGACAGCATTTCTATTTCTATGTTAATGTGATTTCCTTTTGAACTATATCATAAGCAGAATATGTCTCTAAACCAGTCTCGTCTTTTTATCATTATTAATTATATATATATATATATATAAACAATTATTTTATTATTTTAACAATATTAATAATATATATTGCTAATTTTGCAGTTGGCACGAGAGGATGAACTTTAATTCGGAAAGTTAACATGATGTTTTGCGCATTAGTGCAAAGAGTCACATAATTGTAATATTGATAAAGTTTCTTAATGTTTCTTACGTTAAATCCTTATTCTCAAGTTCAAATCATTTAGACAACGCATATGTTTTCATACATAATTAGTTTTTATGATATATTTTTATAAATAAGATAAAGTAAGATAAATATATATAATGAGTGTGTAATAATGTAGGCATATAATTTGTTTAGATCATTTTTTTCACATTTGGAAATTTTGAGATTTGCAAAATTGTGTGATTTTAATAAATAAAAATATTTCAAATAATTTTAATAAATCAATAGAATAAAAGTAAGTTACATCAAACGACGTGGTAACTTATTTTTTCCGATTTATTATACACATATTATACAGGCATTTAAAGGGCCGTTTAATAATGATTAATTATTATTAAATAATTTTTGTAAAAAAATTTTTCTAAAAATATTGTTAACAGTATTACATATAATATTTTTATTAATATAATATTATTTTACTAATAATATTATATAATATGAAATATTATATTAATATAATTAAAATGTACATTTTTATCGAACACTATATTTAGTAATTTTGACAACATATTTAAAAATATATGATTCGTAAAAACGTATGTAAATGTCGTATTTTGTTGTATTGTAAATGTTCCGTATTTTGTATTAATTAATATACATTATGAATGTTAATTATCTCACAAATCCCGATTTTTGGCAAGACTTTTTTACATTTAATAAATAAAGTTTTATTTTATTAATTTCTTGTGTCAGATAATTTACATTTATTTATGTATTACATTTATATCTTTATGTTTATTGATGATTAAATCTTTTGTAATAAATTGTAAGAATCTACTTAAAAAATATACAAATTTAAAATCTTGACAAATTATTAATATATGTGCTTTTTACCAAAAAATATCTATAACCGAATTTAATAATTCGTCTAATATTTCGTTTACTAATTATTTGTAATATAAAAATTTTATCATTTCTGTTGTAACGTAGAATTTATGTAATGCCGAAAATTAATTTTACTCTATATATTCAATGATATTTATACATATTTTTTGAAATAATGTTGAAGTTTGATATTACTATTAAGAAAAAGGACGTTTATTATTCATGTCTGTCTCTATAATTTGTGTGTTAATCGATAGAAACAAATTCTCTTTTCTTTATTTTACGGATTAAAGAATATAAAATAATCTATAATATTACAGATCGTATATATATTACAAATATATAATTTTATATCCAAATATAAGATAATCACATAAATAGATACATTTGTGACGTTTTTTGATGGGATTAAAAGAATTAATTAATATTTGTTTATATTTTAATCGTTAGTTTTGTATAATTTTTAAATATTTTATTTATATAAATATCAAAAATATTATATATATACATATATAGAGAGACTCTATAAGTTCAAACCTTTCGGTGCGACAAAATTCATCCAAAAACATCCGGCATTTTAAATTGAATGAACGAAGTTTATAATTATTGAATAAATGTTCCATGTACAACAAAGAAAGCAGTGGAAAAATAAAGACTTGCTCAAAAATCTTAAAAAGGTAGAATTCTGTAAATAATATTACAAATACGTATTTATTTCGAAATTTATTATTCAATTTAATTACTTTAAAATATTCTGATCATATTATAGTCATTCGTTTGTGTAGTCTAAAAATTAAATTATCGTTTAAATTAAAAATTATTTATTCTTTTGCTTATTCTTTTATTACTACAATATTTTCATGCGTTTTCAAAAATGATAATGATTGAAGATGAAATCGAATATTAATGAATAATTTTTACTTTCAAAAATTGTTTTTATTTTTAGTAAAATTATTTTATATTCTCATAACAAAATTAATTTGTTTAAGATTTAAATCGAAAAGAATAAAAATTATATAATCTTAATCCTCTACTTAGTTACTTTAATTTCTTAGTTTTGTTATTTGCATAATAGAATATATTGCATATATATATATATATATATATATATATATATATATAGAATATATTGCATATATATATATATATATTTGTTACATTAATATAATGTGCTTTTTATTGAGGTACATGAGCCGTTTAGAACAATGGGAAATGAACGACTTGAAAATGTTCGAAGAGCTGTAACCCGTCGTAGAAGCATCGCAACTTCTGCAGGCACGTAAAACGGATGAGAATGTTAATTTGCGAGATGTACAACAAACTGATGGCTAATCAAATAGTAAGAATTCTGAAGTTACGTACACCAGGCGACTATTATAAAAGTCGAATTCCTGTTTCGTTTATTAAAAAAGTATAAGATAAACTAAAAGAACGCGGGAAAAACAACGAACAGGTAAGCTTTTTTGTGCCAAAAGAAATAATTAATTTTCTTACAATTAGTCAAAAATTTAAAAGAACTGAAGTATGTATTAATCGCTCTCTGAAATATGAATAAATTATAAAAGCTTAAAATAGCGAAAATATTTTCGCTGCATATAATAAATTTGTATTTTTCATTTTCAGTTGTTAAAGGATTTAAAGTATTTCTGTACTGTAAAATTTTTATTTAATCCATGCAATTGGAAGAAATCAAAGTATCCAAAGTGCTTCATTTGCCCAAAAAGATATAATACAACAAAGCAAGCATAACCGTGATAAGGATTCCCCCTTCTACAGTCATTAGTTAAAATTGTTATTCCTGCGGATAATCGAAACTCGTTTAATCCAATCCTTATTCGTACAAAAGTTCATCATATATATATATATATATCAAATTTTATATGTATTTCTTTTTTGATTCGTAAATTTTGCGTCATCGTCTCAAATATCGTTCGCGTTTAAAGTCAATTCCGTTGTTTAAATAAATATGAACAAGTCTTGATAAGAAAGATCGATATTTTTTGTTATTATTAGTGTGCATATACTGTGTTATAAATCGAAGAGTAAAAAAGAAAACTAGCAGTATAAAATTCCTATAAGGATTTTGTTTCGGACATTTCAGTATAAATTTCAATAAATATTAAAGTGAACTTTGAAGAAATAATAATTTTATCAGTTGTACTATATTTACAAATGATATGTATTATATTTATTATCTTATTTGTCCCACCTTAAAATTTCTAAAATAAATTTTCTAATTCGTTTATATTTATTATTAATTACTTTTTTAATTCCAGAGGATAAATATAAATAAATTTACAGAGATGCTATTCTCCTTTCGAATCATTTTTTGTGACATACAAAAAAATATATTTGTCTCATTACAACAGAATGTAAAATTACGAAGTTTTAAAAAATATTGCATTTTCTGAAAAAGAATAGAAAGATATAATATTACGTTGGTATAGACTGTATATTTTGATATGAGAGAAAAAGAGAGAAAGAATTATTATATAAAAGTATCTGGTATCAAAAGGACATAAGAATGAGAAAAACAGAAATACAAAGGCGACCGAAAGAAACCGAAAAGATATATTACTATATTTTAATTTTAAATATATGTACATGCGATTGTGTATTTTGTATCATTTTACGAATAGTTCCTAACCATATTTGTTATTTCATCCGGACTGTCATTGGTTTTATGCATTACATACATATTAATATCTGCAGAAAAAAAGAAAAACAAGGAGAAAAAATGTTTTCTCTTGAAAAATAAGATGGACAGAATACATTTTTACACAATTACACAAATCTTGAATCGATGTAACATATTTATTTGTTGCTAAAGTAAAAATAAAGCAATTAATAACAGTTCTTACACCAGTATTTCTCATGCTTCTTACGCTAAAGTGATAAAATTGATCTTTTATTATGTATATAAAATCATTAAAATTCTCGTAATAATTTGCATATAATATGGAAACGTTTTTAATTTTCCCGCGGATCCCCGAGAAATGAAGTAAACCGGAAGAGGAGATTCGAAAGTAGGAGAGAAAGAGGAAAGCAAAACAAACATGTTGTGACCTCGGTGTGATAATGTGCAACCTGATGAAGTCGATACAATATTCATAGCGCTTTTAACTTTCGAACGCATGTAACCACTGTAGACACTTCGTTTTCATTATCGTCACCTTTGCTGCGTCGTCTTGTGCAGAAACTTCTTCTGTCCCAACATTGACAGGTGCTTAGACCGATCGTGATAACTACGAGGAAGCTCTTCGTTAAGGTATTGTTCATAAATAATCGTTGAAGAGGAAATACCAGATATTTGATATGCATCCTCGAAGGAGGCATGTCTTTTCTGACTTAAAATTGCGCGCCAAGGATTTTCTCATCGTTTTAGTTCCCCGAAGGAGATCAAAGAGATGTTTCGGTTCAATATGTCGCATAATGCACGAACGTGATCATATACTTCTAGTTATTCATTCTCGAGTTGATATTTCGAATTCTTTCATTTGACAAATATTTTTTAAAGTAAATTCTGATGATAATTAAGATTGTTAAATTATTTTCGTGATCTTGAAATTTATGAAAAATGTTTGCCCGAAAATAAATGTAAAGTATGTATGTAAAATACGTTTCAAGTGCATTCAATAAGCACATTCAATAAGAATAGATTAAAAATCCATTAAGATATGATATCAAACTCTCTAACAATTTCCATCGCTACTTAAAATTTAATATTAATGATATATGTTGATATACACCGTTGGAATTTATATAAATCCTATTATAGATTATATTCTAATAAACAAAATATAATATAAACTTAAAGATTCTTTGGATACATGTGAGATGATATATTAGATTTAATTAATCATCAGTAAATTCATGAAACTGACAATGAGAATATCTTGATTATACAATCAGGGGAAATTACAGGAACGATGTTGAATATTATGATTTTATTGTGATTTATTTTAGTTGTGTACGTGTGTGCGAAACTGTAATTTAACTTTATTTTTACATTCGTATTTGCCCTTCAGTTATAGAATTTTGCCCTTCTGCTATTTCAAACATTTTGATAGAAGCACACAAGTTTGTATATCTATATTACTTGCTTTATATACTATGAGAGTCATTATGTTAATATAGTATTGCATGATCAATTAATTGCTTCGGCACTAAAATTTAAAAAAAATCAACAAATCGAGTTAATCTTTAGCCTGTGGACGGCTCATATATATTTTTATAAACTCGCGTTACAGAACCCGATATTTGATCAATAAGATTTTATGTTTTATTTTTTCTTTTAATTATTAAGATTGATATAAGGATTACATAAAGATAATTCTTGAGCTTTCGCGCGCGTGATTTCTTTTCAAAACTAAAATTAATAACTACCAGAGCAGGAAAGCAATTGCCAAGAGACCTAAATTCTGGCTTATACTAGATGGTCCGACCATCCATAGAAGCAGCAGTTCATTTGTCATGATAATGTTTCTCGGACGCTGACGATTATGATTATACAATCCGTTTGATTTAGTTGTACTTCTTATAAAAAAAGAAATAATTTACAATTAATACAATCGTTAATTTTTGAAATTTATTCAATTATTATTATACGTTAAGAAGTTGCAACACAATTTAAATTTAATTTTTTTTATTGTTAATGATTCATATAATTGTTTTAAATTAAACGAAATTTATAAGATTCAAGAAATATCAAGAAATATTCACACTATTTTTTTACAATATTCTTGTTGTTAAGTTTTGTTAGAATAGAATTATCATGTGATCGTCATAATTTGTTGTACCGTATAGTTCATTCAAACTATTACAAATTTATTCGAACCATTATGTAATGTCAATTTAATCAAAATTCTCGAGAGATACAGGCAATATAGACACGTTTTTTATATATTTTAATTCTATTATTACATTTTCTGATTACAAATATTTTAAACTTATTTATATTTCGAGTCAAAATATTTATGATAAAAAATTTTATTAAAAATTTTATTAAATGTTATTAAATATATTTTAAGTAAATAAAATCAAATTGCACTTTTTATAACATTTGTAATTACAACTATTTTTTATTATTTTTATGTATTAATATAAAAATATATTATATATTAATGTTTATTATTATTTTTATTTTATCACATACAATCTTTTAATGTAATATTGGTTAAAAAACTTATTTTTTGTTTCGTTTCAAATCTATGTTTTCCGACAAGCATGGCAAAAAATATATATTAAATAATTTTGTTTTCTAGAATTAATGTAGCATCGTATTATTACTAACAGAGTAAAAAAGGTTCGCTAAGATTGCAATTATTATTGAAATTTAGGAAGAAAACCGCTAAACGATCCTATCCGTCATGCCTGTTGCTATAATAAAAAAAATCATGAGGATATTATTCGGCTCACTACACTCAATAATAATTATTGATATCTGTATTTCATACATACCAAGTAAGATAATCATTTGTGTAATAACTTGTATAATAATTTGTTCAATAATATTTGTATAATATTTATATAATATGAATTAGATTTATTCAGTTCATACTTATAATCGAGAAAAAGCACTTATTTAAATGATAGAAGTTAATGATTGTGTGATTTTTATTTTTCTCTTTCTCTCTTTCTTTCAATATTTATTCAAAAGTACATATGTATAAAGAATATAAAACAATTAATTAAAGAATAGCTATAGAAAAATATATATTTTAAATCTATATAAAGAAAAAGTAACGTGCACGAGCACGCATAATACAGACTTATTGCACGCATGGATATACTTTAATAATGTATATATACGTATATATGAGTATACATACGTTAATAAGCTATATACATTGTTAATAAGCTAAATTAATAAGGAATATATATAATAAATATATATTATTTTGTGTAAGAAGATTAATGTACCATGTATGAATTTCGTTTTATTAATAATATTATTAAATTTGTATTCTTTTGTGAAATGAAAAAAACAATGTTAATAAATTAATAACAAGAGTCAATTTATCTCAATGTCAATTTGTCTCAATTTATAAATTAAATTAATAATATGATTTATTTTTTAGACTTATTCTTTTTACATAACCTAACCCATAATAATGAATATATTAATTTCAATGAAACAAATAACAAAACCAATAACATAACGATTCACAATGAGGATGACGTGCTAAAAGAAGTACTAATTAATTTATCGTTTAAGAAATCAAAAAAATTCGTATTCTATACCAGAATATTTTACCTTTACTGCGTAGTTTTATACAATTTATGCAGGTAAATTTTATTTTTTATACTTGATTAAATTAACGGAATTATAAGAAATGTGTTATTATGTTTATACACATGTATGGATGATTGTGTAATATATGTGTGTGTGTGTGTGTGTGTGTGTGGAAAAAGAGAGGGGCGTGAGTGGTTGTGTCACATATATATGTATATATTAATGCAGTATAAGAAAAGAAAATTTTGATTTAAATTTATAATATTAATACGAATTAAAGATACAACTGTCATGTAATAATTATATTAAAATCAATATAAGTATGACATTATCAATATAAGTATAATATTAAAATCAATATTTTATTTTTTCGAAAAATGCTAAGATTCAGATAAATATAATATTACTAAATTTATAATTATTTTATTGCAGTCAGTATATGATTGCAATTTTATTTCAATAATTACTAATTATTGCAAGTATTGATTAATTTACTATAAGTATTCTTATTATTAAAAACATTTCTTATAATTGTTACGAATTTTGATTACAGTTTATATCGCGAACATATACTAGCTTACTTAAATAATTTGTACAACCGGTTCTTTCGCCGTAATCAAGATAATGAGCAAGCTGTCCATTTTCCAAGACGATAGAATTTATTGGAATGGACAAGCGAATATCCATCCACAAAACGTAAGTAAAATATACTAACAATAACTAAATTAATTAGAAAAGTGATCTTAAATTGATACACCGTTTTTTAAGACATAAAAATAAGAATAATGTAACCAAACAAATATGAATATCATTTAAAACACATAATGTTTTAGAAATAAATGATTGAAATATAAAAGTATATTCTAACATGGCGTACAAAGATTTAAAAAAATTTATATAATTATGAAACGTAAATCTAGAAACAATTTCTTTTTTAACATGTTTTGTATAGAATTTGACGTTAATAACATTAATAAATATTTCGTTTAATATGATGCTGGAAATTTTCTTTGGCAAACATTCGTTCATATATTTGTCAACATTTCACAATTCCATCAAAGATATTTAAAATTTCTTAGAGTATTTATTTCGAATTTTGTGACACAAAGTAATAATACTAAAGCTATCCGAATAGCAATAAGAACATTAGCAAAAACTTTGAGAATAAGTCTTACAAATAAAAATTTAATGTAAATGGATAAGCGGAAAAATATTATTTCTAGTAATTTATTTTATATACAAATTGTTATAGTTTGGAAAGACAGCATTTCTATATCTATGTTAATGTGATTTCCTTTTGAACCATATCATAAGCAGAATATGTCTCTAAACCAGTCTCGTCTTTTTATCATTATTAATTATATATATATATATATATAATATATATATATATGTATATATGAACAATTATTTTATTATTTTAACAATATTAATAATATATATTGCTCATTTTGCAGTTGGCACGAGAGGATGAATTTTAATTCGGAAAGTTAACATGATTTGATGTTTTGCGCATTAGTGCAAAGAGTCACATATTTGTAATATTGATAAAGTTTCTTAATGTTTCTTACGTTAAAACCTTATTCTCAAGTTCAAATCATTTAGACAACGCATATGTTTTCATACATGATTAGTTTTTATGATATATTTTTATAACTAAGATAAAGTAAGATAATATATATAATGAGTGTGTAATAATGTAAGAATATAATTTGTTTAGATCATTTTTTTCACATTTGTAAATTTTGAGATTTGCAAAATTGTGTGATTTTAATAAATAAAAATATTTTAAATAATTTTAATAAATCAATAGAATAAAAGTAAGTTACATCAAACGACGTGGTAACTTGTTTTTTCCGATTTATTATACACATATTATACAGGAATTTAAAGGGCTGTTTAATAATGATTAGTTATTATTAAGTAATTTTTGTAAAACAAATTTTTGTAAAAATATTGTTTACAGTATTACATATAATATTTTTATTAATATAATATTATTTTACTAATAATATTATATAATATGAAATATTATATTAATATAATTAACATGTACATTTTTATCGAACATTATATTTAGCAATTTTGACAACATATTTAAAAATATATGATTCGTAAAAACGTATGTAAATGTCGTATTTTGTTGTATTGTAAATGTTCCGTATTTTGTATTAATTAATATACATTATGAATGTTAATTATCTCACAAATCCCGATTTTTGGCAAGACTTTTTTACATTTAATAAATAAAGTTTTATTTTATTAATTTCTTGTGTCAGATAATTTACATTTATTTATGTATTACATTTATATCTTTATGTTTATTGATGATTAAATCTTTTGTAATAAATTGTAAGAATCTACTTAAAAAATATATAAATTTAAAATCTTGACAAATTATTAATATATGTGCTTTTTACCAAATATCTGTAACCAAATTTAATAATTCGTCTAATATTTCGTTTACTAATTATTTGTAATATAAAAATTTTATCATTTCTGTTGTAACGTAGAATTTATGTAATACCGAAAAATAATTTTATTCTATATATTCAATGATATTTATATATATTTTTTGAAATAATGTTGAAGTTTGATATTACTATTAAGAAAAAGGAAGTTTATTATTCATGTCTGTCTCGATAATTTGTGTGTTAATCGATAGAAACAAATTCTCTTTTCTTTATCTTACCGATTAAAGAATATAAAATAATCTATAATATTACAGATCGTATATATATTACAAATATATAATTTTATATCCAAATATAAGATAATATTATATAAAAGTATCTGATATCAAAAGGACATAAGAATGAGAAAAACAGAAATACAAAGGCGACCGAAAGAAACCGAAAAGATATATTACTATATTTTAATTTTAAATATGTACATGCGATTGTGTATTTTGTATCATTTTACGAATAGTTCCTAACCATATTTGTTATTTCATCCGGACTGTCATTGGTTTTATGCATTACAAACATATTAATATCTGCAGAAAAAAAGAAAAACAAGGAGAAAAAATGTTTTCTCTTGAAAAATAAGATGGCCAGAATACATTTTTACACAATTACACAAATCTTGAATCGATGTAACATATTTATTTGTTGCTAAAATGAAAATAAAGCAATTGATAACAGTTCTTACACCATTATTTCTCATGCTTCTTACGTTAAAGTGATAAAATTGATCTTTTATTATGTATATAAAATCATTAAAATTTTCGTAATAATTTGCATATAATATGAAAATGTTTTTAATTTTCCCGCGGATCCCCGAGAAATGAAGTAAATCGGAAGAGGAGATTCGAAAGTAGGAGAGAAAGAGGAAAGCAAAACAAACATGTTGTGACCTCGGTGTGATAATGTGCAACCTGATGAAGTCGATACAATATTCATAGCGCTTTTAACTTTCAAACGCATGTGACCACTGTAGACACTTCGTTTTCATTATCGTCGTCACCTTTGCTGCGCCGTCTTGTGCAGAGGCTTCTTCTGCCTCAACATTGACAGGTGTTTAGACCGATCGTGATAACTACGAGGAAGCTCTACGTTAAGGTATTGTTCATAAATAATCATTGAAGAGGAAATACCAGATATTTGATATGCATCCTCGAAGGAGGTATGTCTTTTCTGACTTAAAATTGCCAAGGATTTTCTCATCGGTTTAGTTCTCCGAAGGAGATCAAAGAGATGTTTCGGTTCATTATGTCGCATAATGCACGAACGTGATGATATACTTTTAGTTATTCATTCTTGAGTTGATATTTCGAATTCTTTCATTTGACAAACATTTCCTAACGTAAATTCTGATGATAATTAAGATTGTTAAATTATTTTCGTGATCTTGAAATTTATGAATAATGTTCGCCCGAAAATAAATGTAAAGTATGTATGTAAAATACGTTTCAAGTGCATTCAATAAGCACATTCAATAAGAATAGATTAAAAATCCAATAAAATTTAATATTAATGATATATGCTGATATACACCGTTGGAATTTATATAAATCCTATTATTATAGATTATATTCTAATCAACAGAATATAATATAAACTTAAAGATTCTCTGGATACATGTGAGATGATATATTAGATTTAATTAATCATCAGTAAATTCATGAAACTGACAATGAGAATATCTTGGTTATACAACCAGGGGAAATTACAGGAACGATGTTGAATATTATGTTTTTATTGTGATTTATTTTAGTTGTGTATGTGTGCGAAACTGTAATCTAACTTTATTTTTACATTCGTATTTGCCCTTCAGTTATAGAATTTTGCCCTTCTGCGATTTCAAACATTTTGATTGAAGCAAACAAGTTTTTATATCTCTATTACTTGCTTTACATACTATGAGAGTCATTATGTTAATTTGGCATTGCATGATCAATTAATTGCTTCGGCACTAAAATTTAAAAAAAATCAACAAATAGAGTCAATCTTTAGTCTGTGGACGGCTCATATATATTTTTATAAACTCGCGTTGCAGAACCCGTTATTTGATCAATAAGATTTTATATTTTATTTTTTCTTTTAATTATTAAGATTGATATAAGGATTACATATAAAGATAATTCTTGAGCTTTCGCGCGCGTGATTTCTTTTCAAAACTAAAATTAATAACTACCAGAGCAGGAAAGCAATTGCCAAGAGACCTAAATTCTGGCTTATACTAGATGGTCCGACCATCCATAGAAACAGCAGTTCATTTGTTATGAAAATGTTTTTCGGACGCTGACGATTATGATTATACAATCCATTTGATTTCTGAAGTTCTTCTTATAAAAAAAGAAATAATTTACAATTCATACAATCGTTAATTTTTGAAATTTATTCAATTATTATTAAGATACGTTAAGAAATTATAACACAATTTAAATTTAATTTTTTTTATTGTTAATGATTCATATAATTCTATTAAATTAAACGAAATTTATATGATTCAAGAAATATCAAGGAATATACATACTATATTTTTACACTATTTTTGTTGTTAAGTATTATTAGAATAAAATTACGATGTGATTGTTATAATTTGTTGTACCGTTTAAGTCATTCAAACTATTACAAATATATTTGAACCATTATGTAACGTCAATTTAATCAAAATTCTCGAGAGATACAGGCAATATAAACACGTTTTTTTTATATATTTTAGCACTATTATTACACTAACTGATTACAAATATTTTAAACTTATTTATATTTTGAGTCAAAATATTTATGATAGGCATATTAGTAAACATATTTTAAGTAATTAAAATTGCATTTTTTCTTTAACATTTGTAATCATAACTATTTTTTTATATATTAGTATAAAAAATATATAATATATTTTATTTTTATATATTAGTATAAATATATATATATATATATATGTATATATATAAATTATATTATATATTATATATAATTTAAATATTATATATTAAATTTTATTTATTTCCATTTTATCATAAAAGTCTCTTTTAATGTAATGTCGGTTAAAAAATTTATTTTCTGTTTTGTTTCAAATCTGTGTTTTCCGACAAGCATGGCAAAAAATATATATTAAATAATTTTGTTATCTAGAATTCATATAGCATCGTAATATTACTAACGGAGTAAAAAAAGCTTCGATAAGATTGCAATCTCAATTATTATTAAAATTTAAGAAGAAAAGCTCTAAACGAGTATCCGTCATGCCTGTTGCTAGAATAAAGGAAATCATAAGGAAATTATTAAGCTCAATATTTTCACTAATGATTATTATGACTTTTATCTCATGCCTACCAAGTAAGATAATCATTTGTATAATAACTTATATAATAATTTGTATAATAATATTTGTATAATATTTGTATAATATGAATTAGATTTATTTAGTTCATACTTATAATCGAAAACACTTATTTAAATGATAGAACTTAATGATTGTGTAACTTTTACTTTTCTCTTTCTCTCTTTCTTTCAATATTTATCTAAAAGTACATATATATAAAGAATATAAAACAATTTATTAAGGAGTAGCTAATAAAAGAATATATATTCTAAATCTATATTATAGAAAAAAAGTAACGTGCACGAGCACGCATAATACAGACGTATTGCACACATGGATACAATTTTACTAATAATGTATATATGAGTATACATACGTTAACTGTTAATGAGCTAAATTAATAATGACTATATATAATAAATATATACTATTTTTTGTAAGAAGATTAATGTACCAATTATGAATTTCGTTGTATTAACAATATTATTAAATTTGTATTCTTCTCTGAGATGAAAAAAACAATGTTGATAAATTAATAACAAGAGTCATTTCAATTTATAAATTAAATTAATAATATGATTTATTTTTTAGTCTGTATACATAACCTAACCCATAATAATAAATATACTAATTTCAATGAAACAAATAACAAAATCAGTAACATACCGACTTATAATGAGGATGACGTGGAAAAAGAAACAATTCATTTATCGTTTAAGATTTTAGTAATTGTCATATACAGTATCTTTTATACCACGTGCTGCTTAATATTATTGTACATTTTCTGGAGGTAAATTTTATTTTTATACTTGATTAAATTAACGGAATTATAATAAATGTTTTATTATGTGTATACACATGTATGGATGATTGTGTAATATATGTGTGTGTGTGTGTGTGGGGGAAAAGAGAGAGACATGGGTAGTTGTGTCACATATATATGTATATATTAATGCAGTATAAGAAAAGAAAATTTTGATTTAAATTTATAATATTAATACGAATTAAAGATACAATTGTCATGTAATAATTATATAGATATTAAAATCAATATGATATTATCAATATAAGTATAATATTAAAATCAATATTTTATTTTTTTGAACAATGCTATGCTATTTTATTGTAAAAGTTATGAAGATTCAGATAAATATAATATCACTAAATTTATAATTATTTTATTGCAGTCAGTATATGATTGCAACAATTTTATTCCAATAATTACTAATTATTGCAAGTATTGATTAACTTATTATAAGTATTCTTATTTAAAACATTTGTTTTAATTGTTACGAATTTTGATTACATTTGTAGTAGGTAATCTATACTATATTACTTAAACAACTTATACATTAACAGGTTTTTTCACAGCAATCAAGGTAATGAGCCAACTGTCCATTTTCAAGACGGTAGAATTCATTGCAATGGACAAGCGATTGTCCATCCACAAAACGTAAGTAAAATATACTAACAATAACTAAATTAATTAGAAAGGTGATCTTAAATTAATAAACCATTTTTTAAGACATAAAAATAGGAATAACGTAACCAAACAAATATGAATATCATTAAAAACACATAATGTTTTAGAAATAAATGAAAGTTTTGAAATATAAAAGTATATTCTAACATGGCGTACAAAGATTTAAAAAAATTTATATAATTATGAAACGTAAATCTAGAAACAATTTCTTTCTTAACATGTTTTGCGATAGAATTTGGCGTTAATAACATGAATAAATATTTCGTTAAATATGATGCTGGAAATTTTCTTTGGCAAACATTCGTTTATATACTGTCAACATTTCACAATTCCATCGAAGATATTTAAAAATTCCTAGAGTATTTATTTCGAATTTTGTGACACAAAGTAATAATATTAAAGCTATCCAAATAGCAATAAGAACATAAGCAAAAACTTTGAGAATGAGTCTTACAAATAAAAATTTAAAGGCTTAAAATCGATAGATGTAAATGGATAAGTGGAAAAATAATATTTCTAGTAATTTATTTTATATACAAATTGTTATAATTTGGAAAGACAGCATTTCTAAATCTATGTTAATGTCATTTCCTTTTATTTTGAACCATATCATAAGCAGAATATGTTTCTAAACCAATCTCGTTTTTTTATCATTATTAATTATATATATATATGAACAATTATTTTATTATTTTAACAATATTAATAATATATATTCCTAATTTTGCAGTTGCCACGTGAGGATGAACCTTAATTCGGAAAGATAACATTGACGTTTTGCGCATTAGTGCAAGGCGTCATGTATCTGTAGTATTGATAAAGTTTCTTAACGTTTCTTACGTTAAAACCTTATTTTCAAGTCCAAATCATTTAGACAACGCATGTTTTCATACATGATTAGTTTTTATGATATATTTTTATAAATAAGATAAAGTAAGATAAATATATATAATGAGTGTGTAATAATGTAAGCATATAATTTGTTTAGGTCATTTTTTTCGCATTTATAAATTTTGAGAATTGCAAAATTGTGTGATTTTAATAAATAAAAATATTTCAAATAATTTTAATAAATCAATAAAATAAAAGTAAGGTACATCAAACGACGTGGTAACTTATTTTTTCCGATTTATTAAACACATTTATTTTTGTAATATTATTATAACACAATTTTATTTTTCTCGAAACATAAAAAATAATAATAAAATAATTCTCAATTTTTATCTGACAAAAAACATCATTATTTCTTTAGATTTAAATTTAACATTAATTATGAAAATTATAAAAATTGTATAAATAATTAATTAATAATTAATATAAATTAATTATATACTAAATTATATACTAAATTATATACTAAAAAATGTATAATTGATTTAATATAATTCTATATATAATTAATACAATTCTAAATGTACATATATATATATATATATTATATATATATATATATATATATATATATTATTAACTTCATTAAATTATTTTATACAATATATCTAACTGCTTACATAAATTTACAGGTATAACATGATTACATAAATTTACAGGCATAACATTTAATGGACTGTTTAATAATAATTAGTTTTTATTAAGCAATTTCTGTAAAAAAAATTTCTGTAAAAATATTTTTTACAGTATCACATATAATATTTTTTTAATATAATATTATTTTACTAATAATATTATATAATATGAAATATTATATTAATATAATTAAAATGTACATTTTTATCGAACACTATATTTAGTAATTTTGACAATATATTTAAAAATATATGATTCGTACGCATGTAAATATCGTATTGTAAATGTTCCGTATTTTGTATTAATTAATATACATTATGAATATAAATTATCGCACATATCCCGATTTTTAGCAAGACTCTTTTACATTTAATAAATAAAATTTTATTTTATTAATTTCTTGTGTCAAATAATTTACATTTATTTATGTATTACATTTATATCGTTACTTATATGTTTATTAATGATTATATCTTTTGTAATAAATTGTAAGAATCTACTTAAAAAATATATAAATTTAAAATCTTGACAAATTATTAATATATGTGTTTCTTACCAAAAAATATCTGTCACCGAATTTAATATTGCAGAACTAATTGTTGATTACTCGCAAAGAATAATTCGTCTAATAATTCGTTTACTAATTATTTGTAATATAAAAATTTTATCATTTTTGTTGTAACGTAGAATTTATGTAATACCAAAAAATAATTTTATTTTATATATTCATTGATATTTATATACATTTTTTGAAATAATGTTGAAGTTTGATATTACTATTAAGAAAAAGGACATTTATTATTCATGTCTGTCTCGATAATTTGTGTGTTAATCGATAGAAATAAATTTCTTTTTTATTTATCTTACGGATTAAAAAATATAAAACAATCTATAATATTCTAAATCGTACATGTATTAAAAATATATAATTTTATATCTAAATATAAGATAATTAATCACATAAATAAATACATTTGTGACGTTGTTTTTGATGGGTTCAAAAGCAATAATTAATATTTGTTTATATTTTAATCGTCAATCTTGTATAATTTTTAAATATTTTATTCATATAAATATCAAAAATATTACATATATATATATATTACAAAAATATTACATATATATATATATATATATATTACATATATATATATATATATATATATATATATATAAAGTCTTATAAAGACTCTCTTTCATATATATATATATATGAAAGAGAAACTTTATAAGGTCAAACTTTTCGGCACGATAAATTCATCCAATAACATCCGGCATTTTAAATCGAAAAAACGAAGTTTATAATTATTGAATAAATTATTGAATAAATTTCATGTACAACAAAGAAAGCAGTGGAAAAAAAAGACATCTTATAAAATCTTAAAAAGGTAGTATTCTATAAATAATATTACAAATACGTATTTATTTTGAAATTTATTAATCAATTTAATTACTTTAAAATTACTTTAAAATTACTTTAAATTTACTTTAAAATATTTTGATCATATTATAGTCATTCGTTTATGTAGCTTAAAAATTAAATTAGCGTTCAAATGAAAAATACTTTATTTTTTGTTTATTTTTTTATTATTACAATGTTTTCATGCGTTTTTAAAAATAATGATAATTGAAGATGAAATCAAATATTAATGAATAATTTTTACTTCCAAAATTGTTTTTAGTTTTAATAAAATTATTTTATATTCTCATAACAAAACTTATTCGCTTAAGATTTAAATTGAAAAGAATAAAAATTATATAATCTTAATCCTCTACTTAGTTACCTTAACTTCTTAGTTTTGTTATTTGCATAATAAAATATATTGCATATATATATATATATATATATATATATATATATATATTTGTTACATTAATATAATGTGTTTTTTATTGAGGTACATGAGCCGTACAACAAACTGATAGCTAATCAAATAGTAAGAATCCTGAACTTATGTACACCACAGTCGATTATTATAAAAGTCAAGTTCCTGTTTCATTCATTAAAAAGATACAAGACAAACTAAAAGAACGCGAGGAGACAACTAACCGCTTTTCTGCGCCGATAAAAAAAGTATTAATTCTCTTAAAATTAGTAAAAATTCAAAGAAACTAAAATCGCATGTGTGTATTTATCTCTCTCTAAAATATGAATAAATTATGAAAGCTTAAAGTAGCGAAAATATTTTCGCAGCATATAATAAATTTGTATTTTTCATTTTCAGCTGTAAAGGATCTAAAGTATTTCTATCCTGTTTTAAAATTTTTATTTAATCCATGCAATTGGAAGACATCAAAGTACCCAAAGTACCCAAAGTACCTTTATTTGCCCAAAAAGGTATATAACAAAGCAAGCATAACCGTGATAAGGATTTCCCCTTTTACACCCCCTTCTACAGTCATTAGTTAAAATTGTTATTCCTGCGGATAAGGAATCGAAACTCGTTTAATCCAATCCTTATTCGTACAAAAGTTTATCATATATGTATATATATATATATATATATATATATATATATATAAATATATCACATTTTATATGTATATTTTTTTTAATTCGTAGATTTTGCGACATGTTATCGTTTCAAATAGCGCACACATTTAAAGTCAACTTCGTTATATAGATAAATGTGAACCGGTCTTGATGAGAAAGAGCGATATTTTTTGTTATTATTAGTGTGCATATACTGTGTTATAAATCGAAGAGTAAAAAAGAAAACTAGCAGTATAAAATTCCTATAAGGATTTTGTTTCGGACATTTTATTATAAATTTTAATAAATATTAAAGTGAACTTTGGAGAAATAATAATTTTATCAGTTGTACTATATTTACAAATGATATGTATTATGTTTATTATTTTATTTGTTCCATCTTAAAATTTCTAAAATAAATTTTCTGATTTATTTATATTTATTATTAATTAATTTTTTAATTTTAAAGGATAAATATAAATAAATTTAAAGGGATGCTATTCTCCTTTCGAATCACTATTTGTGATATATAAAAAATTATATTTGTCTCATTACAAAATATAAAATTATTAATATAAAAAAAGAAAAACAGGGAGGAAGAATGTTTTCGCTTGAAAAATAAGATGGACAGAATATATATTTACACAACTACACACACCTTGATCCGATGTGACATATTTATTTGTTGCTAAAGTGAAAATAAAGCAATTGATAACAGTTTTTATTCCATTATTTCTTATGCTTCTTACGTTAAAAGTGATAAAAATTATCTTTTATAATATATAAAGAATCATTAAAGTTTCTCGTAGTAATTTGCAAATAACATGAAAAAATTTTTAATTCTCCCGCGGATCCGAGAAATGAACTCGGAAGGGAAGATTCGAGAGAAGGAGAAACGGAAAAAAGTAAAACAAACATGTCGAGACTTCGGTGACCCAGGTGTGATAATGTGTACAACCCGATGAACACAGTATTCATAGCGCTTTCAACTTTCAAACACATGTAACCAGAACCGTAGACACTTCGTTTTCATCGTCGTCGTCACTTTTGCTGCGTCGTCTTGTGCGGTGGCTTTTTCTATCACAGCTTTGATGCATAGATTGTGATGACTACGAGCAAACTCTACGTTAAGGTATTGTTCGCAAATAATAGTTGAGAAAAAGATATCAGATATTTGATATGCATCCTCGGAAAAGGCATGTCTTTTCTGACGTGAAATTGCGCGCCGAGAACTCTTCTATCGTTTTAATTTTCCGAGAGAGATCAAAGGGATGTTTCGGTTCAATATGTAGCTTAATACACGAACGTGATCATGCATTTTCAGTTATTCGTTTTGGAATTAATATTTCGGATTTTCTACTTGATAAATAATAATTCTTCAAATTTCAAGTGATAATTAAGATTGTTAAATTATTTTCGTGATCCTGAAATTTATGAGAAACGTCAGCGTGAAAATAAATGTAAAGTATGTATGTTAAATACGTTCCAAATGCATTCAGTATGCAAAAGAATTGATTAAAAATCTAATAAGATTTGATATCAAACTATCTAACAATTTTTATCGCTATTTAAAATTTAATATTAATGATATATGATAAACGCCGTTGTAATTTATTTAAATCCTATTATTATAGATTATATTCTAATCAACAGAATATAATATAAATTTAAAGATTCTCTGGATACATGTGAAATGATATATTAGATTTAATTAATCATTAGGAAATTCATGAAACTGAGAATGTCTCGTCTATACAATCAGTGGAACAGGAACGATGTTAAATATTATGATTTTATAATTGTGTACGTGTGCGAAACTGTAATCTAATTTTATTTTTACATTCGTATTTGCCCTTCAGTTATAGAATTTTACCCTTCTGCAATTTCAAACATTTTGATTAAAGCAAACAAGTTCTTATATCTCCATTATTTGCTTTACATACTATGAGAATCATTCTGTTAATCTGACATTGCATAATTAATTAAATGCTTTGGCACTAAAATTAAAAAAAAATCAACAAGGAGTTAATTTTTAGCCCTTGGACGGCTCATATATATTTTTATAAACTCAATTTGCAGAATCCGTTATTTCAACAATAAGATTTTATATTTTATTTTTATATTTTATATTTTATATTTTTTATATTTTATTTTTTTCTTTTAATTATTAAGATCGATACAAGGATTATATAAAAATGATGTAATTCTTGAGCTTTCGCGCGCGTGATTTCTTTTCAAAATTAAAATTAATAATTATCAGAACGGGAAAGCAAGTGCCGACCTAAAGATAAGTGAGACCTAAATTCTGCCTTATACTAGGTGGTACGACCATCCATAGAAACAGCAGTTTATTTGTCATGATAATATTTCTCGGACGCTGACGATTATGATTATACAATCCGTTTGATTCAGTTGTACTTCTTATAAAAAAAGAAATAATTTACAATTAATACAATCGTTAATTTTTGAAATTTATTCAATTATTATTATACGTTAAGAAGTTGCAACACAATTTAAATTTAATTTTTTTTATTGTTAATGATTCATATAATTGTTTTAAATTAAACGAAATTTATAAGATTCAAGAAATATCAAGAAATATTTACACTATTTTTTTACAATATTCTTGTTGTTAAGTTTTGTTAGAATAGAATTATCATGTGATCGTCATAATTTGTTGTACCGTACAGTTCATTCAAACTATTACAAATTTATTCGAACCATTATGTAATGTCAATTTAATCAAAATTCTCGAGAGATACGGCAATATAGACACGTTTTTTATATATTTTAATTCTATTATTACATTTTCTGATTACAAATATTTTAAACTTATTTATATTTCGAGTCAAAATATTTATGATAAAAAATTTTATTAAAAATTTTATTAAATGTTATTAAACATATTTTAAGTAAATAAAATCAAATTGCACTTTTTATAACATTTGTAATTACAACTATTTTTTATTATTTTTATGTATTAATATAAAAATATATTATATATTAATGTTTATTATTTTTTTAATTTTATCATAAAATCTTTTAATGTGATATCGGTTAAAAAACTTATTTTTTGTTTTGTTTCAAATCTATGTTTTCCGACAAGCATGGCAAAAAATATATATTAAATAATTTTGTTTTCTAGAATTGATATAGCATCGTATTATTACTAACAGAGTAAAAAAGATTCGATAAGATTGCAATTATTATTGAAATTTAAGAAGAAAAGCGCTAAACGATCCTATCCGTCATGCCTGTTGCTATAATAAAGAAAATCATGAGGATATTATTCGGCTCACTACACTCAATAATAGTTATTATGATCTGTATCTCATGCATACCAAGTAAGATAATCATTTGTGTAATAACTTGTATAATAATTTGTTCGATAATATTTGTATAATATTTGTATAATATGAATTAGATTTATTCAATTCATACTTATAATCGAGAAAAAGCACTTATTTAAATGATAGAACTTAATGATTGTGTGATTTTTACTTTTCTCTTTCTCTCTTTCTTTCAATATTTATTCAAAAGTACATATGTATAAAGAATATAAAACAATTAATTAAAGAATAGCTATAGAAAAATATATATTTTAAATCTATATAGAGAAAAAGTAACGTGCACGAGCATGCATAATACAGACTTATTGCACGCATGGATACACTTTAATATTGTATATACGTATATATGAGTATACATACGTTAACTTTTAATAAGCTAAATTAATAATGATTATAAATAATAACTATATATTATTTTTTGTAAGAAAATTAATGTATCAATTATGAATTTCGTTTTATTAATAATATTATTAAATTTGTATTCTCTTGTGAGATGAAAAAAAACAATGTTAATTAATAACAAGAGTCATGAAATTAATAACAAGAATCATCTTAATTTATAAATTAAATTAATAATATGATTTATGTTTTAGACTTATTCTTTTTACCTAACCTAACCCATTATAATGAATATATTAATTTGAATAAACCAAATAACATAACCAATAACATACTGATTTACAATGAAGATGACGTGCCAAAAGAAGTATTAATTAATTCATGGTTTGAGAAATCAGAAGAATTGGCATACGATACAAGAACATTTTACCTTTACTGCGTACTTTTATACAATTTATGGTGGTAAATTTTATTTTTATACTTGATTAAATTAACGGAATTATAAGAAATGTGTTATTATGTTTATACACATGTATGGATGATTGTGTAATATATATGTGTGTGTGTGTGTGTGTATGTGTGTGTATGTGTGTGTGGGAAAAGAGAGGGACGTGGGTGGTTGTGTCACATATATATGTATATATTAATGCATTATAAGAAAAGAAAATTTTGATTTAAATTTATAATATTACTACGAATTAAAGATACAATTGTCATGTAATAATTATATTAAAATCAATATAAGTATGATATTATCAATATAAGTATAATATGAAAATATTTTATTTTTTCGAAAAATGCTATACTTTTTTATTGTAAAAGTTATGGATAAAATGCAGATAAATATAATACTACTAAATTTATAATTATTTTATTGCAGTCAGTATATGATTGCAACAATTTTATTCCAATAATTACTAATTATTGCAAATATTGATTAATTTACTATAAGTATTCTTATTATTAAAAACATTTCTTATAATTGTTACGAATTTTGATTACAGTTTGTGTTGCGAACTTATACTAGCTTACTTAAATAATTTGTATAACCGGTTCTTTCGCCGTAATTAAGATAATGAGCAAGCTGTCCGTTTTCAAGACGATAGAATTCATTGGAATGGACAAGCGAATGTCCATCCACAAAACGTAAGTAAAAATACTAACAATAATTAAATTAAATAGAAAAGTGATCTTATATTGATACACCATTTTTTAAGACATAAAAATAAGAATAATATAACCAAATAAATATGAGTATCATTAAAAACACATAATGTTTTAGAAATAAATGATTGAAATATAAAAGTATATTCTAACATGGCGTAAAAAGATTTAAAAAAATTTATATAATTATGAAACGTAAATCTAGAAACAATTTCTTTCTTAACATGTTTTGCGATAGAATTTGGCGTTAATAACATTAATAAATATTTCGTTAAATATGATGCTGGAAATTTTCTTTGGCAAACATTCGTTTATATACTGTCAACATTTCACAATTCCATCGAAGATATTTAAAATTTCTTAGAGTATTTATTTCGAATTTTGTGACACAAAGTAATAATACCAAAGTTATCCGAATAGCAATAAGAACATTAGCAAAAACTTTGAGAATGAGTCTTACAAATAAAAATTTAAAGTCGATAGATGTAAATGGATAAACGGAAAAATATATATTATTTCTAGTAATTTATTTTATATACAAATTGTTATAGTTTGGAAAGACAGCATTTCTATATCTATGTTAATGTGATTTCCTTTTGAACTATATCATAAGCAGAATATGTCTCTAAACCAGTATCGTCTTTTTATCATTATTAATTATATATATATATATATACATATATATATATATACATATATAAACAATTATTTTATTATTTTAACAATATTAATAATATATATTGCTAATTTTGCAGTTGGCACGAGAGGATGAACTTTAATTCGGAAAGTTAACATGATGTTTTGCGCATTAGTGCAAAGAGTCACATAATTGTAATATTGATAAAGTTTCTTAATGTTTCTTACGTTAAATCCTTATTGTCAAGTTCAAATCATTTAGACAACGCATATGTTTTCATACATAATTAGTTTTTATGATATATTTTTATAAATAAGATAAAGTAAGATAAATATATATAATGAGTGTGTAATAATGTAGGCATATAATTTGTTTAGATCATTTTTTTCACATTTGGAAATTTTGAGATTTGCAAAATTGTGTGATTTTAATAAATAAAAATATTTCAAATAATTTTAATAAATCAATAGAATAAAAGTAAGTTACATCAAACGACGTGGTAACTTATTTTTTCCGATTTATTATACACATATTATACAGGCATTTAAAGGGCCGTTTAATAATGATTAGTTATTATTAAATAATTTTTGTAAAAAAATTTTTCTAAAAATATTGTTAACAGTATTACATATAATATTTTTATTAATATAATATTATTTTACTAATAATATTATATAATATGAAATATTATATTAATATAATTAAAATGTACATTTTTATCGAACACTATATTTAGTAATTTTGACAACATATTTAAAAATATATGATTCGTAAAAACGTATGTAAATGTCGTATTTTGTTGTATTGTAAATGTTCCGTATTTTGTATTAATTAATATACATTATGAATGTTAATTATCTCACAAATCCCGATTTTTGGCAAGATTTTTTTACATTTAATAAATAAAGTTTTATTTTATTAATTTCTTGTGTCAGATAATTTACATTTATTTATGTATTACATTTATATCTTTATGTTTATTGATGATTATATCTTTTGTAATAAATTGTAAGAATCGACTTAAGAAATATACAAATTTAAAAACTTGACAAATTATTAATATATGTGCTTTTTACCAAAAAATATCTATAACCGAATTTAATAATTCGTCTAATATTTCGTTTACTAATTATTTGTAATATAAAAATTTTATCATTTCTGTTGTAACGTAGAATTTATGTAATGCCGAAAATTAATTTTACTCTATATATTCAATGATATTTATACATATTTTTTGAAATAATGTTGAAGTATGGTATTACTATTAAGAAAAAGGACGTTTATTATTCATGTCTGTCTCGATAATTTGTGTGTTAATCGATAGAAACAAATTCTCTTTTCTTTATTTTACGGATTAAAGAATATAAAATAATCTATAATATTACAGATCGTATATATATTACAAATATATAATTTTATATCCAAATATAAGATAATCACATAAATAGATACATTTGTGACGTTTTTTTGATGGGATTAAAAGAATTAATTAATATTTGTTTATATTTTAATCGTTAGTTTTGTATAATTTTTAAATATTTTATTTATATAAATATCAAAAATATTATATATATACATATATAGAGAGACTCTATAAGTTCAAACCTTTCGGTGCGACAAAATTCATCCAAAAACATCCGGCATTTTAAATTGAATGAACGAAGTTTATAATTATTGAATAAATGTTCCATGTACAACAAAGAAAGCAGTGGAAAAATAAAGACTTGCTCAAAAATCTTAAAAAGGTAGAATTCTGTAAATAATATTACAAATACGTATTTATTTCTAAATTTATTATTCAATTTAATTACTTTAAAATATTCTGATCATATTATAGTCATTCGTTTGTGTAGTCTAAAAATTAAATTATCGTTTAAATTAAAAATTATTTATTCTTTTGCTTATTTTTTTATTATTACAATGTTTTCATGCGTTTTCAAAAATAATAATGATTGAAGATAAAATCAAATGTTAATGAATAATTTTTACTTTTAAAAATTGTTTTTATTTTTAGTAAAATTATTTTATATTCTCATAACAAAATTAATTTGTTTAAGATTTAAATCGAAAAGAATAAAAATTATATAATCTTAATCCTCTACTTAGTTACTTTAATTTCTTAGTTTTGTTATTTGCATAATAGAATATATTGCATATATATATATATATATATATATATATATATTTGTTACATTAATATAATGTGTTTTTTATTGAGATACATGCCGTTTAGAACAATGGGGTAGAGATGAATGTCTAGAAAATGTTCGAAGAGCTGTAACCCGTCGTAGAAGCATCACAACTTCTACAGGCACGTAAAACGAATGAGAATGTTAATTTCATTTGCGAGATGTACAACAAACTGATGTCTAATCAAATAGTAAGAATTCTGAACGTACGTACACCAGGCGACTATTATAAAAGTCGAGTTCCTGTTTCATTCATTAAAAATATACAAGACAAACTAAAAGAACGAGAGCAGACAACGAACCACTTTTCTGTGCCGTAAAAAAAATTATTAATTCTCTTAAAATTAGTAAAAATTCAAAGGACTAAAATCGTATGTGCGTATTTATCACTCTCTAAAATATGAATAAATTATAAAAGCTTAAAATAGCGAAAATATTTTTGGCAGCATATAATAAATTTGCATTTTTCATTTTCAGATGTTAAAGGATCTAAAGTATTTCTATCCTGTAAAATTTTCATTTAATTCATGCAATTGGAAGACATCAAAGTACCCGAAATGTTTCATTTGTCTAAAAAGGTATAATACAACAAAGCATGCATAACCGCAGTAAGGATTCCTCCTTCTACATCCCGTTCTACTGTCGTTAGTTAAAATTGTTATTCCTGCGGATAATCGAAACTCGCTTAGCCCAATCCTTATTCGTACATATATATATATATATATATATATATATATATATATATATGTATATATAATAAACTTTTATATAGATACAGGGTGTTTCAGACCATCCGTACCACCCATTTTTTAAAAACTAGAGAAGTGGTTATTTCAAAAAAGTAAAAACATTTTCTTTATAAATCGAGTGCGCTCTATCGAATGGTGATATTTTCAACTTCTAGTTTCGGCCGAAAATAGGCGATTGAAACCGTAAGTGCATTGTTTTAAATGGAACCCCCCATTTTTTATTGCATATTCTTGTAGCTTAATCTCGAGAGCTTTTTAAAACACTATAGTAGATTATTTTTCCATGAAGTACTTTTCGAGTTATGAGGCTTAAAATCATTTCTTAATTTTATATAAACCATAAAATATCTTGTAAAATATTCATTTTTCGATGATCTTATCTTAATACTTTTACGTACAAAATAATGAGAGGAATCAATTGGAGTAAAGAAAACACACAGCTGTTTCTAAGAAAAAATATGTAATTTGCAATTCTATATATTTTTTTAAAAACAACTGTATGTTTTCTTTACACCAATTGATTCCTCTCATTATTTTGTACATAAAAGTATTAAGGTAAGATAATTAAAAATTGAAAAGTATTAAGGTAAGATAATTAAAAAATGAATATTTTACAAGATATTTTATGGTTTATGTAAAATTAAGTGAATAAATGAATATTTTTGTAATATACAAAAAAATATATTTGTCTCATTATAACAAAATATAAAATTACGAAGTTTTAGAAAATATTGCATTTTCTCCGAGTATGGAACAATTTCCATGATTCTAAGAAAATATTCTAACAAATATATGACAACAATAATTACAATTGAATACAAAATCTTAGATTTATATATATCGGAATTTTATTATTATGTATATTGCGAATCTTTATAAATATCTTAAAGAATTTTATAAATATCTTAAAGTTGAAAACTTATTGAAGATATAGTTAATGTATAAAAAGGAAATGTATGCGTGCGAGAAATAGAAAAAAGAAAGGAAAGATATAATATTACGTTGGTATAGATTTTATTTTGATATGAGAGGAAAAGAGAGAAAGAATTATTATATAAAATCGAATCTGGTGTCGAAAAGATATAAGAATGAGGAAAACAGAAATGCGAAGGCGACCGAAAGAAACCGAAAAGATATATTATTATATTTTAATTTTAAATATCTGTACATGCGATTGTGTATTTTGTACCATTTTACCATTTTTTGTACCATTTTTGAATAGATCCTATCAATATTTATTATTTCATCTGGACTGCCATTGGTTTTATGCATTACAAACATATTGATATCTAGAGAAAAAAAAGAAAAACAGGGAGGAAGAATGTTTTCTCTCGAAAAATAAGATGGACGGAATATATATTTACACACATACACACATCTTGACCAGATGTGACATATTTATTTGTTGCTAAAGTGAAAATAAAGCTATCGATAACAGTTCTTAGTCCATTATTTCTTATGCTTCTTACGTTAAAAATGGTAAAAATGATATTTTATGATGTATAAAGAATCATTAAAGTTCTCGTAGTAATTTGCAAATAACATGAAAAAATTTTTAATTTTCCCGCGGATCCTCGAGAAATGAAGCGAGCCGGAAGGGAAGATTCGAGAGAAGGAGAAAAAGAAGAAAGCAAAACAAACATGTCGTGACTTTGGTGATCTAGGTGTGATAATGTGTACAACCCGATGAACACAGTATTCATAGCGCTTTCAACTTTCAAACACATGTGACCCGAACCGTAGGCACTCCGTTTTCATTCGTCGTCATCACTTTTGCTGCGTCGTCTTGTGCAATTCTATCCCAGCTTTGACTACAGGTGCTTAGACCGATCGTAACTACGAGAGAAGTCTACGTTAAGGTATTGTTCATAAATAATCGTTGAGAAGGAGATACCAGATATTTACGCATTTTCGAAAGAGGCATGTCTTTTCTGACGTGAAATTGCACGCCGAGAATTTTCCCATCGTTTTAATTCCCCGAGAGAGATTAAAGGGATGTTTGGGTTCAATATGTAGTTTAATACACGAACGTGATCATGTACCTCCAGTTATTCATTCTCGAGTCGATATTTCGAATTCTTTCATTTGACAAATATTTCTTAACGTCAATTCAGGTGATAATTAAGATTGTTAAATTATTTTCGTGATTCTGACATTGATGAAAAATGTTAGAGTAAAAATAAATGTAAAGTATGTATGTAAAATACGTTTCAAGTGCATTCAATAAGCAAAAGAATAGATTAAAAATCCAATAAGATTTGATATCAAACTCTCTAACAATTTCCACCGTTACTTAAAATTTAAGATTAATGATATATGCTGATATACACCGTTGTAATTTACATAA